ACCCCATTATACGATATGTCTTCGACATCTCCAAAGTGTGATAATAGTGCATTAGTAGGTACATCTGTTACACTTGGATTTGTTAGTGGGATAATTCTTCCAATATGTATCGCTCTGATTTTTTATTATCGGCGTCAAGCAAATAAAGGTTATGAACAACAATATCCTGCTAGAACAACAACCCAATCAGACCAAACTCCAAACCAAAGTTTTTTAAATAGGGTTAATAGTAATATGTTTAAAAATCAATGGAATCAAAATCCAGGAGCAGTATATGATACAAAGGAGTATAAAGCCCAAGAAGTGATAAAATTTTAAATTTGAAAGGCCTTTGTAAACTTTGCTGATTGAAATCATTGCTTAACAAGAAGAATTATGTTAAAGAGTTTAGTTCAGATAGATTATTAATAAGGCTGATGGACTGTTTGTCATTAACTTTTTAACATTATATTGATACAAAGTATCATTACTTTTAAATTTATTTTTTTATTCATACCATATAGTTCCGGCACTATACCGATTTTGGCCTGCGTTATAATTATTTTAGCCAGCATTACATGCAAAAAGGGTACTATTTCCGGAACTATACGTTATTTATAATTATAGTTTTCTTTAGCAAGATTGTAATTAAACAACTAATGAATCTCTCACAGTATAGATTGCTCTATAATTAATTAATTGATTAATAATATATTTCATTAATGGATCACCTATATACTACAAGAGATCCTGTAATTATAATTTATTTGAAATCCGGAGATGAACTGTACCTATCTGCAAACTTTTAGTTCAATAAATCTGATCAATTGTTTTTTAAAAAAATCGCTACACATCCAATTACAACGGGGTGTCGTACTATAGTGCGAATGTTATAACATTCACACTATGGTACGACACCCCCTGTTACAATTGGACACGGTACATATGTACGTTTGATTGATAACGTTCCACAAAATGTCAAAATAAAGTGCAATTGGGCTGTAACTAGTGTGTTGAGTAAAGATTTCAAGTACAAAATTAGATCTCCATAGATGCAACTAAACGTTTAAGCTATGCGCATTTAATAATCAATAAAGTAGCTATGCGACACCAGGAACGTAAATTTATGAATGAGCCAGAGATTTTATGCAATATATCAGCTTTTCCAGACTGGCTCTAATAATTGCAAATCATGTTCCACATGTGACGCAATTGTGAAGTGAATTTCTTAACCAATAA